TATCCCCTCGCTCCCCTACGCTTAAAGACCTCCGTCCACGACTTTTCTTTTCCCACTGCCTCTCTCCCGGCCACTTTTTCAAGATCCGTTTCCCTGTTCCAAAATCTTTGTCACCTCCCTCGACCAATTCCGGAAGGCTCTCTTTCTTTCGGGGTCAACTTCAATTAGTCGAGATCATGATTAATTAACCCATAACCCCGCCTTTTTTTAATGGACGCTAAGCTCGGTTTCAAGTCTCAGAATTCCGACTTCCCACGAAATTGTTCACTCAGCAAAACTTCGAAAGCCTTTTGTTTAGATTACTGTCGCCACTCTACAAGTATTTATGACCTAGGCTGTTTATCTTATCCAAGATTTCCGTCCAGCGGTCCCGTATTTGAAATAATAATATATGACCCACAAGTGTTCTTACATAAACATTTTTTTCCTTCTCGCTAGTTAGCCGATAAATTTTAAACTGTTATTTCCTTCATGACTGAAATCGGTTTATTTTTTGTTTATTTTTTTCTTAAAGCGATAATTTATTTTTTCGAATGTCGCCGGTGAAATTTGTGGATTTCATACAAATGATTCTATAGTTTAAAATACTGACATTGCTAGGTATTACATCACTCCCTCCTTCGAAAAAGTTCTGGGCATACTCAATGCCATAACTTTTCCAACTAAATAAATTCTAGACAATCACAACATGTAGTGACATGCAAGAATCAAATAGACAAATATAGTTTAGTCAGCGCAACTGACTTCCTTCAAATAAAGCAAGGATAATCAACAAAACAAAAGAAAAATATCAGTTCTGAAAATGTTCTATGCCTATGGCTACCCCTGTACAAGACTTTTAAACCGTCGCGTACATATGAGTCGCTTCCTTTCTCGCACTGCACTCGCGATCACACGTATAGGTTCGCGCACTCTACCTGGGGTTGACCACGTACTCGATGACTGTTGGCTGCTGCGGGAGTAACCTATTCCAATAGCCCGGGAAACTCCAGGACTTCTAAAGTCTGTTGACGCTGCTCCTGTTCCCGCGGCTGCAACTACGGTCGGGGTTACAAATAGTTTCTAGGTTGCTCGCGTTCAATGAGGACTCCGTGGCGATAGTTTCTCGTCACCTTGTTAATTTGAAGTTTGGTACGGTCAACCCGTTACTTTTGCGTTTCGGGGCACACGGTAATGTCTTTTGCGGGGGCAGAGGGATTAATAATCTTAGATTTTTCCGTCCAATTGGCGAAACTGCTCATCCGGGGGTATATGGTGGAAGGGGGTGTCTGTTCCAATTCGTGGTCCTCCTCGGGCGCCTCTGGGTCGGCTTGCTTTGCTGCCTTGGCTGCCTGGCTTCGGTGAAAGACCCACACTGTTAGGGTGTTCCAAAAACTGGCTAGTATCATCACGCTACATCCTAGCGTCTGGTACAAATGGAAACCATTTAACATTACTCCCAGGATATACTTAACCACACGGAATATTGCGTAGAACCCCATCAATCCGCTCATAAATATTCCTATGACGGTGAACCAACCCCAAATCTGGTGTAGGGTATTGTGTGCTAGTTTCTCCATCTCCTCCATGTTAAAAAGGTTCAGGGTGGAAAATCCTTGGCCTGCCGTTTCTAGGCCGGCAACTCGTCGGCCGGCAGTTTTCAACTGCTTCTCGCTCGTTTCCGAAGGTGATAATCCTCTGGGTAGTCTTGATTTCTTCCTGAGTATATATTCCAAGTGCTCCAACTGGTTGGATTGGGCTAAATGTTAATTTGGTTTCGACTTCAGGTTACAACTCTTCGGGTGCATGTTTTTCAATTGGATGCGGGCTTAGGCCTATCCATCGATTATCTATAAAGTATAATGGAGGTAATAGTCCATTGCAATCCACTTCTTCTGCAAAATTCTGGATAATTCTGGTGACTGGGGCCATGAACTTGGTCTCATTATTTACTACGATGGGGAGTTCGTTATAGCATTTATCTGTCCCTAATATTTCAACAGATTCAGGTATGCATCGTATGACGTAAAGAACTTCGCCAAGTACGCGTCCTACATACCCTCCGCTTTCTTTTACTAGTTGACTTAGTGTACTGGGTGCAAATGGGGCGACAATTAGCCTAGTCTTCAGTATTTCTCGTTGGGCGAAACATCTCCGATGGACGGTGTCCGTATACAACTGGTTCAATTTTCTGTTATAAGCCTGTTCGACATATACAAATTTGCTGTTCACATAAGCCATCAGGTCTGCGTTATGCGGTAATATCTTAACCTTTGAGTTCAACCTCATGTCTTGGGCGGACACTTCTAAAACCATTATTCGTGGGTGTTCAGTCTGCCAGAGTTCTAATTGACAAACATTGATTTTCTTTACCAACGTTACGGCAAAGACTTTCGCCTTGTTTTCGACCACTATCAATTGCTCAGTAGTAATATTATTCGTTATTTTTTTGCAGGACCTGCGTGAAGCAAGCTGAACTTCTCTTCACATAGTCGTTCTGAATTTCTCAATTTGTGTCCCAAGTGGCTTCGCCGATGCTAGGATCAAAACAGTATCCCTTTAGATATGGGCATACTACATTTCCTGTAAGAAATAGTTCATTGACGTCTAGTTTCACCTTTGCCTCGAAATCCGTCATAGTTATTTTCACGGTGCGTTCCACGTCCGTCCATTTTCATGATAAGTTGTTCCTTGACAGGTTCCATCCGGTTGTACGATTCCTTCCAACGTTAGCGAAGCGATAGTTGTTCCGTTCGTTGTTAGGTCTCCAATTTTCTGGTGATGGATGTTGATGGATCGGTATCGGTGTGCACTGAGGCATTCTTCTGCGCCTAGTCGGTTTACGTAACTTAAGATTCCCCCGGCCACAATGGATCTATGGCTGTGCACTCCGCAATGCATAATAACTCGCATGATCTCGATCAGACATGTCCACGCGTGTTGCAATTCAACTTCGTCTTTCTGAATAATTTGCACGGTACCCAATTCACTTCGATAAGTTGTCTGTGGTTCCGGACACTCTGCGAAGTCGCGAAGAGATATCGCTGATATCTCGGCTGCTTTGTCGTCATAGTCAAACGCAATTAGAGGCTTCACCTGGGTAATGAAACAGGGCATTAGTAAGGTTACTCCCAGGATGATGGTGTTGACCTTGGAAGTGACCATCTTGTCGTTGTCCTTTTCTCCGTCGGTGTACATTATTAGCCTTACTAACTAAGGCTCCGTCTGGAACTGTGTCTATCCCTTAAAAGAACATTTGAATGCAAGTTAACTAAAACATAGCAGAGTTATTTCTGCTAAATAATAAATACTGCAACCCATAAAATAAAAAATTAAATTGTAGATTATACGTGCAACAACATCATAACAAAAAAAATGAATCGACTTCAATTTCTATTTTGTGTAGCTCATAGACAATATCGCTTAGTATCCTTACGTTTTCTAATATTTCCTTACGATTTTAACGTTATAATTTCCTTTTCTATTCCCTTTTGGCGAAGGCACCCTACTTATAAACAACTACGCTCTATTCTATCAAGCAAATCCTTTATAATACACAGTTTGATATATTGAAAATAGAGTAACGTTCCCATGACTTTTATATACGAAACAGTTATTCCCTAACTATACATTCGGTTATATATATGAGTATAAACTTACTCTGTGAAGATACACTCTCATAAATGTAGTGATAGTTTGACCCAAAACTTGTTTGGTCAAAACAAAACACAAAAAATGATATTTCATTTCTGGATCTAAATCCTTCCCTATAAAATTCTATCCAAGTAAAAATGTCGAAATTTGAAATCTAGAGTAAACCCTCTTTACTCTTCAGTGGCCCGGTGTGTCGGCGCAGTTAGTCGGTAATGGGATACCGAGTAACTTCGAAATCTATGGGGAGTTCTTTTGTTTGTAATATCCCCTATTTTTCATACTCCAGTACCTGTTACGGCCGGTACTATGCCCTTAGATCATATACTCCTTTAGATGCTACCTTCTAGGTGAACATCTGTATGGCAGCCCTTTCAAACGGAGCTCTGAATTGAAAGATGGGAAAAATAAAAGAAAGGTAAAAAAATAGATGTCTTAAAAAAAAGATTAGGAGTTTGTGAACTCCGAGTCTTGCGTAACTTATACTGAAAGAGTCGTCGTTACGGTTACGCTTGCTGTTAACGAAGCGATGGGGAAAAGTTAACTGAATATTCATCAGTAACAAAGTAATCGAGTGGTATAACTGGAGAAGATGGAAAAAAAAAATTTAAGGGAAAGTTCCATATCCCAAAAAAAATTAATGAGTTACACCCACGATCCGAGGAGAAAAAGGTTGAAATATAATTGATGTAAAAGAAAGGAAAATATCCTTCATTATGTTGTTTCCTCCGAAAATCGGGTTGTTGATGTTGTACCCCAATTCTTTCCGTAGTAGATTCTAGTTACGTTAATAACACCTCCGTTGTTGTAGCGATAATTTCGTTCTTGCTCCTCTCTAGTGAGAAACTTCATGAAAACGTTTCCTAAATGTAAACCCATATGTCTCCCATAATCTATACATGCCCAGCTTCCCCGTAGAAAATCTCTTCCTAGAATCATGTGAGCATTTCCTAAAATTTCATCGTCGCACACTATAGCGATCCATTGTTTCCTCCAACTCCTGTCTATAGTCTCAATAGATAACTTTGTGGAACCCCAAGTTCGTAAATAGTGCCCTGTAACACTCGTTAGTTGATAGTTATCCGCTCCTCTTCTGTTCATTTTCCGTTCCTCAACAAATCCACGCTGTATTAGTGTCACAGCGGCTCCGGTGTCCACAAGACATTTACACCATTTCCCATTTACCATTAATTTTACAAAATGTGGAATGTATCCACTCGTTTCCGATGCTACGTCTGGAATTACCATGACAAGTCGCCCGAATTTCCTGGTTTCGTTGCTCGGTCTATGATTTTTTCTAATATTGTTCTGTGTCTCATTCTGCCATTTTTTCCGAGTTCGGCCTCCGTCCTGACAGATAAACGTCGGCCCTATTCGTTCAAATTCCTCCTGTCATTATTCTCCGGTGATGAGCGATCGTATGACTTCGATGGCTGTCTATTTTTGGGTATTGCTCCCGTTGAGGGTTTCCATTCTCTGTTATTTTCCGATCTATAATTTTGAAAATTTCTTCTGTTTTCTTGGTCCTGTCTTTCTTCATAATTCCTTCTAGGTCCTTGATTCCTATTGTCGTATGTAGAATAAGTCTCGCGTTGACTACTTCCTGCTCTTCGGCACTCTCGAGCCGGATATCCTTCTTTGTGGAATATGTTGCACGATTTTTCATAACTGGTTTTCCATTTTCCTATCGAATAACACTCTATGGCGAAGTGTCCTATTTTTCCGCAATTATAACATTCCTGTCTTGTCCTCTCCGCAGTTGCGCGTCGATAGTGCGTGTTATTCTTCTCTTTCGGATGGGTTACTTCCCTGTCCATTCTTGCTGACGCGTTTTCTTCATTTTCAACCGATGGAATCTTCGTGTTGGCCATTTTGCCTTGAAGCATCAATAACGTGGTTTCTTGTAGCCTCACCAATTCCTCTGCTTTGTCGAGGTCCAGATCCGGTTCTTTCAATAATAGCACTCCTGTGTTCTTTCATAAGATCCTTCCTTAGGCCTATCTTGAATTGGTTCAATATTATTTCCTTATTTTTCTTTTTGAGTCCTGCCTCTTCTGCCGCCGTTGCGTCGTGTAAATCTTCCTTCAATAAACTGGCCCCTAAAATTCTTAAATGAGTGCAAAAAGACGAAACATCCTCATCATGTCTTTGAAAACACCTACTCAAATTATATTGTATTCCTCCCGGTAAATGACGTGGTGAAAATTTTGCTAAAAGTCTTTGTTTTAATTCGAAAAATGTTAAAGTATCTAAATCCGGTTCTGACTTTAAAAAATTGTATGCCTCTCCGACTAATTTAAATTTCAATAATTGCAAAGTCTGATCTTCGCTCCACGCGTCTAATTTGGCTCGCATTTCTGATCTCTCAAAATATTTCCCAGGGTTTTTTCCTGTAAAATCATCCAACGTTGTTGCTATCATACATGGGCGGTGCCCAAGTCATAGTCGGGGTGACCATCGTCGGCGCTCCTGAGGCTGATGTCGTTGACGTATTGGTTGTGTTAGTAATTTGGGAAGAAGTTAGCATTTTTGATTTTTTTTTCAATGACCCGTGTGAAACAAATACAAAAACAAAATAAAATTCCTACCTTTTGATGGCTTCTCTTCCCTGAAATGCAAACTGAAGGACTCAGGATCTCAGTTCCTCAAATATTACTGAAACTTTCTGTTACAGGCAGCAATAGCTAAAACTATGGAATCACTTCAACTCGCCCACTTGAAATGAAATTTAATACTCAAAACCAGCAAAAATTCCTCCAATTATTTGATAAGCTAGTGAAAAATACCTACGTATTTTCCCAAACTATTTGGTCGACTAATCTGAGCTAATATGAATTTACTACCGATTCATTACACCTAGTAACTTCCTAGAAAATTTCTCTCTTATCTTTCTTTCTTTCTCTACGCGAAAAAGTTCAAAATAAATTCTACTTCATCCCACATCGCTGTCAAACAGTGTAAAATTTGGGTTTCTTTTTCTTGGACTCTGTGAAGTACTAACTTCACATCAAATTTTTTTTGCATTAGTAGGCTATGTCCGAAAGAAACATGAATTCGGCCTTTTGCACGAAGAAAAGGTCTTAAGTAGATTTATCTTAGAATTTTGAGAGTTCGCAGCTTTTGTTTTTCTTTTCTAGGAGGTTACGAAGTTGGAGTTTTGAAAGAAAACTCGACTTTGTAAATAAAATATTATATTGAATAATAAAAAAATAAAAAACTGAGGAACAACAAAACAACAAAAAAATGTAATAATAAGAATCGGATCGCGCTATTTCTCAAATCTTTAAAACATTACTTATTATCGCTCAAATAAGACGCTCGACCGCGCGTTCTTTTCGCTCTATCCCCTCGCTCCCCTACGCTTAAAGACCTCCGTCCACGACTTTTCTTTTCCCACTGCCTCTCTCCCGGCCACTTTTTCAAGATCCGTTTCCCTGTTCCAAAATCTCTGTCACCTCCCTCGACCAATTCCGGAAGGCTCTCTTTCTTTCGGGGTCAACTTCAATTAGTCGAGATCATTATTAATTAACCCATAACCCCGCCTTTTTTTAAATGGACGCTAAGCTCGGTTTCAAGTCTCAGAATTCCGACTTCCCACGAAATTGTTCACTCAGCAAAACTTCGAAAGCCTTTTGTTTAGATTACTGTCGCCACTCTACAAGTCTTTATGACCTAGGCTGTTTATCTTATTCAAGATTTCCGTCTAGCGGTCCCGTATTTGAAATAATAATATATGATCCACAAGTGTTCTTACATAAACATTTCTTTCCTTCTCGCTAGTTAGCCGATAAATTTTAAATCGTTTTATTTTTTGTTTATTTTTTTTCTTAAAGCGATAATTTTTTTTCTTAAAGCGATAATTTTTTTTTTCGAACGTCGCCCGTGAAATTTGTGGATTTCATGCAAATGATTCTATATTTTAAAATACTGACATTGCTAGGTATTACACCAACGGATCGAATCAAATGTGACTTGAAGGATTTCACGGCAGCCTCCCAAAGCCCTCCAAAATGAGGTGCTCTGGGGGGTATGAATCGCCAAACTATACGTTCATGCTCAATAAACTTTTGCATAGTAGTTTTATGGTCTGTGGATTCAAATAACTCTTGAAGCTCGCGATTAGCTCCTACGAAATAAGCCGCGTTATCAGAGTGAATCTCTAAGGATTTTCCCCGTCGGACAAAAAGACGCCCTAGGCTAGCTAAAAAGGCTTCGCTGGTGAGATCGCACACCAATTCTAAATGTACGGCCTTGGTGACCATGCATACATATATAGCTACATAAACCTTTATCTTGTTTCGATTGCGGTAGCGCTTCTCTTTTATAAACAGAGAGCCACAGTAATCAATTCCTGGTCAATTCAGGGTCGTGAAGCCGAGCTTCAGGCAGAATGCCGGAGCCGTGGTCAGCCAAGCGGGGTTTAGCACGAAAGCAGCGTATACAACGCTGAAGTACCTTGCGCACGGTATTATGACCGTTAACCATCCAATTGGTTTGACGGAGAGAATAGAGGGTGGCTTTGGTGCCCGCGTGTTCGAGGCGTTGATGTTCCTCGCGTATAAGCATATCTGTTAGGTGATGAGAGCTGGCAGCAATATAGAATGCCGGTTTTTTTCTGGTAGCTCCAAGAGTTGGAGTCGCCTACCAACCCTGAGTAAGCCGACATCATCGAGATAGGGGTTGAGTGGGATTAGCCGGCTATTCATGGAAATACTTTCCTTTCTCTTGAGGCATTAATTTCTTAGGAGAATGTCGAGCACTAATAATTAGCGTATGAGTCTCCGACATTTCTACTACGCGCTGTAATTTACTAACTGAGCTATATCGTTCCAGAATGCTTGCCCCCGTTGAATTTAATGCGATACAAGCAATTATTTTTTTAGGGCTTGTTTTCAATTCGGGAATCTCGACTAATTGTAAAGCTTCTTTGGGCCAAGCACTTGCCTCTAGAGGCCGCCAAGAAGGGCCTTGTGACCATAAAACATTATGAATTAATTCGCTAGGTAGCTGGCCACGAGATATGTAATCGGCAGGATTGTCTTGAGAAAAAAGGTGGCGCCAACGACAGCACGAAGTTTCCCGCTGAACTTCTGCCACGCGATAGGCTACGAAAGTTTTAAGTCGATGAGGGGCTGTTTGCAGCAAATGTAGAGTGATTGTGAAATCTGACCAGAGGTGAACCTCGTTAATAGGTATCAAAAGTGACTCATGCACAGTAGAATAAAGATTTTCCAACAAAGCTGCAGCGCATAGCTCTAAGCGAGGTAGACTTACCGTTCTGACGGGCGCTACGCGAGATTTGGAACATATGAGAGTAATTCGCACAATACCTTCGCAGTTTGTGGTGCGCAAATAAATACAAGCCCCGTATGCCTTTTCACTCGCATCACAAAACCCATGCATTTGAATGTTTACAACGTTCGGGCTAGTGAGGCAACGAGGAAAGCGTAATTTTTCAAGGAGTGGAAGTTGTTTCTACTATGCGGTCCACATGTTATGTATGTTTTGAGGGACTGATTTATCCCAGGTAACCCAGCAAAGTTGGATAATCATTTTTGCATATACTATCACTGGGCCTATCAAACCCAGTGGATCAAATAATTTAGCAATTTGGGAAAGGATACTAGTAGCAGATTACAGCCGGTTCTGGGCCTTCCCCCACCACTATGACGTATTAATTGCTTTTTTTTGTTGTTTAGTAACATCAAGACGATGTGACATAGTGACGTATTTACATTTGATTGGTGTGTGTGTGAGAATGCACGGTACAGGGTTTCATCATGTGCTTGTCTATGTACAAACATTCGTCTGCATACTTCGAAGATCCTTCAAGTAATGAATGTTCCATCGGTGTGAGCCCACCAATTTAGTAGTGGTGTGACGTCACAGCATCAGCCGTCCAACGGTAAGAGAGCAAGATGTTCACTCCACGACGTGTGGCTGAGTAATGCGTATTCATCGGTCTGCCCTCACCTCTCCCGATGCGATGAAGGCTGTGACGTAACGCATCGCTCTAGCCCCGCTATCGATGGCCGAGGACTGTCTGCCTAACGTCTACCCTCTTCGAGAGCGCAACGACCACTGCCTGATCGTATCGACATCTGTTATCGCATCCAGTTGGGAGGTGGGCTTGGCTGTGACGTCAGGCATCTCTAGTGGGTAGCAACTAGCAATGTGAACCTTTCACGATTTCATGGTGAGGGTGACTCGCACTGTTATTCCTCAACAAATCCACGCTGTATTAGTGTCACAGCGGCTCCGGTGTCCACAAGACATTTATACCATTTCCCATTTACCATTAATTTTACAAAATATGGAATGTGTCCACTCGTTTCCCGTGTTAGGAATCACACGTTAGAAGGTAAGACCTCGTTAATCCTTAGCTCGCACAAGTTTCTACTTCTGAGGGTTGTCGTTCGTAGGGGTGCGACAGCTGGTTAACGGAAAAACATATTTTAAACATTTTTTTTTCCGATGCTAAGTCTGGAATTACCATGACAAGTTGCCCGAATTTCCTGGTTTCGTTGCTCGATCTATGATTTTTTCTACTATTGTTCTGTGTCTCATTCTGCCATTTTTTCCGAGTTCGGCCTCCGTCCTGACAGAGAAACGTCGGCCCTATTCGTTGATGAGCGATCGTATGACTTCGATGGCTGTCTATTTTTGGGTATTGCTCCCGTTGCTGTTTTCTTGGCCCTGTCTTTCTTCATAATTCCTTCCGTTTGTCTGCTCTCGCCTGTCTTGAAAATTTTTTCCATTTCTTGGTCCTTGATTCCTATTGTCGTATGTAGAACAAGTCTCGCGTTGACTACTTCCTGCTCTTCGGCACTCTCGAGCCGGATGTCCTTCTTTGTGGCATATGTTGCACGATTTTTCATAACTGGTTTTCCATTTTCCTATCGAATAACACTCTCTGGCGAAGTGTCCTATTTTTCCGCAATTATAACATTCCTGTCTTGTCCTCTCCGCAGTTGCGCGTCGATAGTACGTGTTATTCTTCTCTTTCGGATGGGTTACTTTCCTGTCCATTCTTGCTGACGCGTTTTCTTCATTTTCAACCGATGAAATCTTCGTGTTGGCCATTTTGCCTTGAAGCATCAATAACGTGGTTTCTTGTAGCCTCACCAATTCCTCTGCTTTGTCGAGGTCCAGATCCGGTTCTTTCAATAATAGCACTCCTGTGTCTTTCATAAGATCCTTCCTTAGGCCTATCTTGAATTGGTTCAATATTATTTCCTTATTTTTCTTTTTGAGTCCTGCCTCTTCTGCCGCCGTTGCGTCGTGTAAATCTTCCTTCAATAAACTGGCCCCTAAAATTCTTAAA